GGTATATATATATATATATATATAGTGCGCAAAAATAAACTCTATGGAAGTGCACCAAAATATATCTAGAAGAAAATTTGGAATCGATAAATAAAAAAGACATTTTAAAAAATTCTTTTGGTAGGACGGAGAATCTAGCTTGTTTAAAGTAAATGTCCTTGTATTAACTTATTTTTATCTCCAGAAGCTACAGGACATACAATTATCTCATTCAAGTCGAAAAATTTAAATTCAAAACGGAATTTTTCGACATCCTTAAAAATTTTTTTTAAGTATTAAGCCTTAAAAAAAATGAACTGCATTGATTTTTTAGTAAGTTGTGACTAACTATCAGCTTTTCAATCTAAGAACCTACGCCATTATCTTACGTAAAACTTATTTTAATATCGAGTGAAGAAATTTAACATATTGTGCTACTAAATGAATAATTCAAAAGATAAAAACTTCATTTACTTCGAAAAATATAAACATTATAGTAAAGTTTACATGTTTTGATACTTCAAAAATTCACATGAACTACCCTGTTTGTTCTAATGGTCGGATCTTCTAACTCTAGGATTCAATTTTAAAGATTCGAAGGGGGGACCTCAAATATGCTAATTAATTAATAAAGACGATATTTTAAGTTACGAAATTAGAACTTTCTCTTAATAATTAAACTTTTTTTTTCATTGATTTTAAATTCTAGTCCCTGAAATATTAGGTGTAGCCGCAATCCGGGAAATATGATTCCAGTTATTTGGTTACCCTAGTCAAAATTCTTGCTTTACCCATCAAAGAATTTCGATGGTTTATGATGATTTCAGTGTGATTCTTGATAGTCGATCTCCCTATGATTATCACTTTTCACTTTTTTTCTTTATAATTATCACTTACCCACTTTTAAATATGAGCTCATGGTTTTTAACATTTTTGTTAACTAATTTACGTGATTCAATGATGGAAAATGCTGCTTTAATACTATGATGGTTAACCATCAGGAGATGTTTGATTTTCATGGGCAAACAATTATTGAATACCTTATGATAGAAAATGTCATTTTTGTTACTTTGATGGTTAGATATTTGCTTATTAATAAACTTACATCTTAATGCGAATTAATTATTGTTCTACCAAACATCTTTTTTAATACATCTTCACTGTCCCTTACAATTGCGAGACGTGAATTTTGATGTTAAGCAAAATACGAACTTTCTTTCCTATATTCACATTTAATTTTTTTAGGTATTTTCGAATAACAAATTATTTTAATCAACGAAAATTGAGTAATTTATTTCTACTTCATTTTACACTGAGATAATTTAGAGTGCACTTATTAATTGGACTATTTGAGGCTCGTTAGTCCAACCATTAAGTTCGAGTCCTTGAAGATGAAGATCCAATCATTAGATCAAAAGTTATTCTGATTGGCCACTTTTATAGTATTATTTTTTTTATCAATATACAATAATTAAATTAACTCTTGCAAAATGGATCGAAATTTCTGACTGATACAATATAGTAGCAAATCATCCGCATGTTAAGCATGAAAATGTGCCTGTAAATTTTCAGATTGGATTTGTACTTTAAAGATGTTAAAATTAATGATTTTTAATTGATCTTACTTAATTTATAATGTTTATGTTAATTTGATTGGTATTTCAAAATTTTCCCTTAATTTAATGAATTATTTAAATAAAAATTACCAAACATCAGCCATCAATTTTAAGTTTTTCATTAACTCTCTAGAAAAAAGAAATAAAATCTGAACTGTAAAATCCTATTTTCAATATCGGAACTTGTATTTTTTGAAGTGCTTATTGTTCAATGAGTGTAAAAAATTGGAATGTTCTGATCGTAAAGAAAATTTATAAATAGTAAATAATTTTAACTAAAGTACAAAAAACAGTACAAATTTGAGACTTTTAATGTTTACTAAATTTATATAAAATTAAGAAAAATCTAAAGTATAACTATCTTAACATACTTTTTTGTTTAACGGCCCAGTGCCGTTGTTTTCATTCCAAAGACTTAAATAATCTGTGCAGTTTGTACTATATGGATGAGGAAGTCGGATGTCCTCTCTCTGAAAAAAAAATATATGTTTGTTTCTACTTTTTTCCGATAAATGAATACATCATAAAATCAAATACTTATAAAAAATACGATATTTGATGATTACTTCTGATAAGAGAAATGTTCAGTTTTTTTTAGAATGAGAAGAATTCGTTCTAATATCCATATTCATTCTAATATTCATTTCAATATTATTTTTAAACATATGCAATGATTTAAAACTGTTTTTATTTTAAACGAATAAAACTATAATTTTCAACAAAATTATTAAGCAAATTCAATCATTTTTTCCCCTGTAATTTGGAGTTAAATTCATCTCCATTTCCATTTTTTTTAATGCTTGACTTAATCTAGTCAAATATATTTTGATAAAAATAATGTTTTGAACCTGAGTATACAATATGCCGTTTGTAACTGAAATGAACAAGCTGATAACTTAGCTTAAGAGGCAATTAATAAGGGCCAATATTTCAGCATCAAAGATCCACATTCATTCATTAAGCTTAAAGCTAAAACACAAATTAAGACGGATTGGCAACACTAGAGGGATCATCACCAACCGAAATCAGGAATGTTAATCAGAGAAATTTCACCAGATGTCTCATTCAAACCTTTAGAATGGAATAGGCAGCTAATCCTCTTCTTTACAGAGCATGGCCCCTTTAAAGAGTATCTAAAACGCTTCTGCCTGACTACTGACAACGCGTGTGCCGGTGGAGGAGTAGGAACAGTGTGGCATTATGCAATGGAATGTCCGCTTACCACATCCTAACTCTTTAAGCAACCAAAGCTAGAATTCCTCATAGACTGGAAGAGATCTATCTATAAGAATCCAAAGTTGAAACAGAAGATAACCAACCTGATTACTTTTCTAGAAGAACACGAGGAAATCCTGAAATAATTTTCATGAAAAAAATGACAAAATTATGCAATGCTGAGCATCAACCACTACTAAACTTGACCAATTAGCTCTGGATACTTTCTAATCAAAATCCCCTAACTAATATATTTTCTTCTCTTTTTTGTTTCTATTTACTACTTTTTTTCTCTTTTTTCTATCTGTCTTGCCTTCCAACCTTAACCATTAACCGATAAATGCCCTTTTAGGGGCATAGGAGTGGGGTTAAATGCATAGAGTTGAAATAGTTGGTGTGTGTGCCGTTTGTAACTCATTAATTGATTGTGCTTGGGTACTGAAATTTGGACTGCAGATGAAAGAGGAAGTTTTAGCCTCTGATCTGAAGAATCGTTCAAATATTTCCATTAGGTGGAGGGATGTGAGCTTTTCTCATTGGTTGATCATTACCCATTGTTTCAAGTTAAATTATATATGATTGTGTCTTATCAAATATTTAAGATATTATCAGTGATAGATGCTTCGATTAAACTTAATAAGTTTATTACACGTTCTTTTATATTTAATTGATTAAATATTATTATTTTTCGCCATGCTAGATAGGTGCAATGATTAAAAGGGACATTGTAGCATTAGTGCACAACATGTAACCAAATTGGTATTTTAAACTTATCGGAAATAACGTGTTTATTATGCTTATAATTATGCTTTTAGAAGATGTTTTTGTTAACTTAAGGGCAGCATATCCGATACATGAGAAGAATTTCGAAACCTCCAAATTTTTGGAAAACTCAAGGTGCCGACTTATATACCGATATTCGTTGAGCGCGAAATATTGATGCATTACAAAGCAAAGAGATTTATATCAATAATTCCGTATAAATTCATTCCCTTGAAAATCTGTTTTTAATTTGTCTTGTACAATAATTTTTGCATTTTCTGTCATCATATTTTCTTTACAAAAATAATTATTTTTATTAAAACAATACTTTAAACTACAACGAGGAATAAAATGCTAAGCATAAAAAGAGAGAAGATAATTTATTCAAGAGCTGTTTTAAAAAAAATAACTTCTGCCATCTCTTAATCAAATAAATGAGATCGATCTATACAACGGATGACTTACTTATACACCAAGGTCTACTGTAACATAGAAGGAATTAAAACAACAAAAACATTTTATGTTCTAAGAAACAAATTTTTTTATTTTCTCCAAGCAAAGAATGATTTTCTGTCGTCCAGAATGTAATAAAATAAATGTTCGAATTGAGAATAGCACGTAATTATCTAACGATTTAAAGTGCACTGAAAAATTTTGTTCAAAATCTAACGATTCATTATAGAGGGGAGATTAGAAATAATCCAGTTTAAAAAACGGATAAATCTGATAGAATTTATTAATAATCCTTTTTTCCACTTTTAGTTTTAACTGTCTTACATTAATAATCAAGGTATTTTTGATTGTTGTGTTTTTTTTAATAATTGTCATAGTAATTTAATTTGTATAAATATTGTAGAACAATGTAAAAATGTTATCTAGAATATGTTGAGAAACAACTTAAATAATTTTTATCTAGTGTCAATAAAATAATTTATTTGTATTTTGGGAGAGTACTTTATTGCCTTTATATGATAATCAGGTGTATACGTAAAACTCAACAGCATAACTCTGGCGGGAACATTAAAATAATTATAATTTCTAAGTGAAACTCAAATGTTAAAGATTATAAGTTAAAATTCTAAAATAATTTACTTGCCATGGAGACAGATAAGACATTTAAAATAATTTATTTGCCATGGAGACAGATGAAACCTTTAAAGTAATTTACTTGCCATGGAGGCAGATAAAACATTTAAAATAATTTACTTGCCATGGAGACAGATAAAACATTTAAAATAATTTACTTGTCATGGAGACAGATAAAACATTTAAAATAATTTACTTGTCATGGAGACAGATGAAGCATTTAAAATAATTTACTTGCCATGGAGACAGATGAAACATTTAAAATAATTTACTTGCCATGGAGACAGATATAATATAATTAGATCCTCCTTTAAGAACAATTCCCTCCTGGTATGGGTTAACTAGATGTCGACGATTATGAACCACCCCAAAGATTATGGTTTCATCTGTGGCAGAGTAGTATTCCGCGGTCTGCAGATCAAGGCCCAAAATATATTCTAAAATGATTGAAATAAGTCATAAATTACATTAAATAAAACCTTCAAAATAAAAAATTCCGTTTGTACGTTAATGATTGTTTTCATAAATTTTTTTTCACCTTCGAGTCATAATTTTTTTTAACTCATATCAATTGTTTTACTTTAACTCCGTAAACGTAGTCACAGACAGTGCTCGAGTCAACTGACAAAATGAGTTTTTTTTTCTTCTTGTAAATCCGTTATTTTGTGCAACCATGAGCTTACCTTAGGTGTTTCGTAAAGAAAAGTCAACACCTTAAATAACTCTTGATTTAATGATCGAATTTTTAAGTATTAAGATTCATTCCCAATGATTTCGGAGATTTACCCTATATAAAGTCCATGTCCAAATTATTAGACGCACTATAAGATTTTGTGTAAAATCTTATTTATAAGGTGACATTATCTATCTTTTATGTTCTTACGCTACTGAAACCGGTTTGCGCTAGTTTACGTTTGTGTATTAATTGGTTAAATTAGACGAAATACAATATAAATTCGACGATTGGATAAATTAGACGATATATTATGTAAATACGGAATACTTATTATATCATTTATTATACTAGTATATTATAATAATTAGACTAAAGTATTAGACACCCAGCAGTTTTTTAATAATTACATGTTTTGCACCAGTTTATGCGCAATACTTTTACAGTTAAACATACATGTAATGGGTTTTTATTCAGGATATTTTTCATATACTTCCTGTTTGTATTTATTTTTAACGTATTGCATTACATTGCAAGCCAATTGGTACAGGAGCATTAACAAGTGCAAACCTGTTTCATCCGAGTAAAAACAATAAAGCTGTATAGCATCACATGATAATTAAGATTTTATACAGAATCTTACAGTGAGTATAATAATTTGGTCAGGGACTGTATACAAACTAAATAGTGTAGATTATGTTTTAAGTTATGAAAACAGTCAAAAAATCACACTCTTCTTTTTCTTTGATGGATACCTGACCGACAAATTATGGGAAGGGATTACCCACAATACGAAAGATATGACTCCACAAGCTTAGAAAGGAGAGTTCCTAAATTTTAATTTAATAATTTATGCTTACTTTTCCCGTTTTCGAGATTTTTTAAAGCGAATTGCAATGTTTTTGCACACAGTTATAAAATTTTTATTTTAAGACAACACTGTTCCAAAGATAATTACGGATTCATTAGAAACACTTCCAAGATTTATTATGAAATCATTTGTTTTATCTTTTCTTTTCTGATTCCTAAGATTTTTTTGACTAGTGTTTTCATTTTCTCAGTGCTTAAATAGTCTCAAACGTATTTACGTTTTGACTTTTTTCTTTTGATAAGGTGTCTAAATGTATACGGTAAAACAGTAGAACTGTAAATGTAAAACGGTCATTAGGGAATTGCATTCATTTGAGAATGTCAAAAAAATTTCTCTTACGCGTTGAATGCCTCGAGGGTCACCGGTGATTGCACTGAGTTTGTTCGCAGGTCACCGGTGACCGGCGGAGCCAGATTATTAGAAACACATAATTCGAGTAAATTTTTAATGCTTTTAATATTATTATCTTTACTAAAATGGTTTGAAGAAATTAATGCAATACATACTGAGAAAATCGTTTTGCCAGATGGGCATGGCATGTAAAATTACCGTGGCATTCAATGTATTAATACGTTTTTGTGACTGTTTTCGTTTCAACTTTGCTTTTGAATTTACTCAGAAGACGCCTTGTCGGATCTCCAAACCTAATTGTGCTATGGTCTTGAAATTTGATCATCCAAGAGTAATAACTTTAGCCCGCGATCATAAAAATCTTTCAAAAATATAAAAGATGTTTTATAAAGGTTTTTGTTCGCATTAGTCTTTTTGGAAATAAAACTGAACATGATTCTGTTCAGGATTTTATTGCTCGTTCGTTAATGTTTAATTATTTTTTCACGTGCAATATATTTTAAGATAAACTTT